CGGCAATATCATTCCAAAGTCAGAAGACTTCGAAAATGAAAAAATAACACGTTAGAGATTGTTTTCAATATCTGGTCACTTTATTGGCCACTATCCAATTGGAAACTGGCTCAGAATTGCCTGCAGTTTTACAAAACGTTATTGTCAGGGAGATGCTTGGGATGACCTAAAAGGAGATCAAGCACAGTCATGGTTGGTCGAAATAATGCGCCGTTTGGAAGCTAGTGATCCTGTAAAAGGGACATGGAATGCTGATGGTATTCAAAATAGAGCAATATTGTGGTGTGATACTAGTAGTATTGCAATAGGTGTTACAATTGAATATAACGGCGTAATAGTTGAGGATGCAGCATGGCTACGAAGTATAAATGATGTCATCCATTTTAATATGGCTGAATTAGATACTGTGGTGCGTGGAATAAACCTAGCTGTTAAGTGGGACATCAAGAACCTATCGATATTTACCGACTCGGTAACTGTTCATGGATGGTTAAAAAGATTGATGACTGAAAGTCATAGGGTTCGGTCAAATGGACTATCAGAAATGCTAATCAAACGAAGACTTTCATTATTGCGTGGTTTAATAAGGGAATACAGTATGAACATCATAGTCAAGTGGGTTCCGTCTTCTAAAAACAAAGCAGATGACAAGAGTTCCAAAAAAGTGGTTAAATGAAATTTCACGAAAAAATGTTAAAGAATTATGTGGGGTAAATATTTTTGCTGAAATTCGTAAATGTCACTCGAAGCATCATTTTGGCGTTAATCAAACAATGTTTACAGTACAACAAAGAATCCTGCAAGTATCGAGAAAAGACGTTGAAGACTGTGTGCGCAAATGTTGTCAATGTAGTTCAATTGATCTAGCACCAATAAAATGGGAACATGGAGTGCTAGATGTACCAGATACATCGTATCGTATTACATGTGACGTAACTAACTATAAAGGGTCACCGTACTTAACAATGATTGACGTGGACCAAGTTGATTCGCAGTATGGAGAAAGATGCTACACGAAGATACAAAAAGTATATTAATTCAATTGGATTCAGTATTTAGGGAACATGGCCCGCCACACGAACTATTGATGGACAATGGAGCTGTGTTTAGATCAAATGAGTTGTCAAACATGCGTGCAAAATGGTGTGTACAAAAGATGTATAGATATGCATATAGAACATAAGAAAATGGAATCGTGGAGCGTAACCACCGCACAGCAAAACATCTGCGAGAGCACAGATATGTCCGTTACAAGCGGTATTTTGGTATAATGCAACACCAATGATTTGAACGCAAGAAGACTCTACACCTGCTTCTCTAAAAAATAAGTACGTCTGGCGTCTACCTATTCACTAGGAGAACACAGAAAGTCACGAAAGACCACAAAAGGACTCGGCAACCTATAGAATTGGAGAACAAGTTTATGTTCGTACTGTCGGTGCAAAGTGTACGACGATTTGGAAAATTGGTAACATGACTAATATACTCTCAAAAACAAATATTGAAGTTGATGGTGTACCACGGCATGTGAGAGATGTGAGAATGGGTACTGAATCATTTGATGAAAAAGTTTCAAGAATAAATAGTGTTAAAGAAAATGAAAGCGACGAAAGTGAGATCGACAATTTACATATTGCAAGAGACGAGGAAATTGAAGAGTCAGTTGATGAAGAGTCAGTTGCTGACGAAGAAAATGACGGTATTGAAGTCATGGATAATTGTTCAGACGTTCGACTGGAGAACGGAAAATTTCGACATATTTAAATGACTATTTGCCTTAAGAACTCAGTTCTTGGGGAGATGTTAATAGCTAATTTGTAAACGCTATTATAATTTAATAGCGTTTACAAATCCTTTGTGTACGTACGCAAAGGATTTGTAAACGCTATTAAATTATAATAGCGTTTACAAATTAGCTATTATATGTACGTACATATGTCGTAATTTCTTTTTGCGTCTGTTTGTACATAACTATCCCAAGGGAGTTTTTGTTGTTTACGAAAAATGTATAAAAATTGTAAATAGTAAATGTTGGGTGTGAGCAAAAACTCCTTAAAAATAAAGTTGTCTTGAAAAATCTTAATAGAAAAATAGTGTGTAATTTTATATTATATAATACAAATTTAACTAAAAAAGTATTAAATTAAATAAATTAAATTAATAATAGAAAATAGCAAATATAAATTTGTTGATTGAGGTTACAAGTTTAGAGTTAGCACATTTAAATCATAAAACTTCAAGTGAAAATAAAAACAAGATAAAACTTTTAAGAATACTTTTACTATTTAATTTTCTGATTTTTTAGTTTTTATAAAATTTTCATTTTAAATTTATTTTTAATTATGTATATCAAATTTTAAAGTAATTTAGGTGGTTTCAGATCAAGTGACTCTTGCTTTTATTTCTTCTTTTTTTGTGTATTATTCTCTTTTGATTTATGGTGTAGACATAAATTTGTGTACAAAAACATGTTTTAAAAAAAGTTCAATTTTGTAAAAATGATCAATTTCTGAGATTTTTTTTGTTTATATTTTTTTCCACTTAGGTTGTATGATTTTGGAATCCCTAATCAGCATTTAATGCTAATAAACAAAATCTCAGTGAATAGTTAACCATTAAAACAAAGTTTTTAATATATGACTGTATATAATACTTATTTAACAGATCATTAATTACATCGAATAGTTCAACAACATATTCTAAAAGTAACTAAAGCAGCAATTTTAAAAGCCATTAAAACTAGAACTACTTTTTACCTTACAATGGGTCTTTTTCACCTTACTATGGGTCTATATATATTAAATTTATATATATTTTTAAAATAATATTTTCTTGGTATTAACATATTTCTTATCGTTTTACAAGTTTATTATATGGTTTCTACAAGAAAATGGGAAATGGTCTATTTAGCAGCTCATTAAAAAAAGAACCTGTATGTTTTTTTTAGTTTTTTTTTATTTGTTCACTTATTTTAATGATTTTAATTTCAAACTTTAAATTATAAATCGACAAATGATATAACGGCGAAATCCTAAAATTCAGTAAATAGTAAAGATTTTTAACACAAATATATTCAGGAACAGGGGTGGATAAGGCTGGTTGCTTTTCCTTTTCTTCTTTGAGCTTTGCAGTTCTAACAACACATTTCTTTCTAAACAATAAAGTGTAGTCTTGCAGAGTATATCTTTAGGTAACATTTTAAGTGACATTTGGTGTAAATAAAAATTGCTTAAAGCACTTCTAGGGCCTCAAAAAAAAAAAAAAGCTCTTTTATACTCCATTCTGGTGTAATTTGGTTCAATTTATAATTTTATCACTATATTTCTCTAAAATTATTTATACTGTATTACTAAGTTAAAATGTTTAATAAAATTATATTTTATTTACTTTTGCAAACAATTTAAAGCCATAAATTTGATAAAATTTTAATAAAAACGTTATGATTAAATAAAGGTAATTTACTCTGTTTATATGATCTTTAGGTTTATGGCCGGCTGTCATCAAAACTCACTGTACAATTAGCAATAAAATCTTTGCTACAAGAATTTCAAGAAATTCTGAAAAACATTGTAAATGCGGTGATTAACGTAAAAGGTTGTGCTTTAAGTAGCATTTAATAGTATTATATTATTTCACATTGATGTAAAGGGGTTGTCTAGAGGCAAAGTTTTAAAACATTTTTTTTTATTTTCGTGATAATTTAAAATTATTTTTAAATCAAAAATCTAAACCACACATTTAAGCACTTTTTGACAAAAGTAACCATTTTCACAAAATTCCTTATTTTCTTGACTTCTTTGCAAATCTGAACAAGTTGAATTAATAGCCAATAATATATTTTTTTCACGTGCATCTTAATAATGTTTTTTATTTTAATAACTTTGTTTGATAAAGTTAAAATAAAAAATTATTTTACTAATGAAAAACAAAAGTGGTTTAGTGTTATTAATAATTCAACTGCCCATTAGACACCAGCAATTTCTGGAAATTTATCACTTCAAGCTGGAGTAATTATCTTATAAGATAATAGGAATTTTAGCGAAAAAAGTAACTTTTAAAGTTGAGTAGAAGCTTTCTTATTTTAAAAATAAGCATTAAAATTCAAACTTAAATAATTTTTTATAAGTTGCCATTTTTATTGGATATATCGGGGTGTTCACTCTGCTGGATAAACTGAAAGAACTAGAAAGGACTGTTTTGAAAGGCATACTAAAAAAACTGAAAAATATATTTTTTGTGCATAATTGATTCAATGATTATAAAAAACACATTTTCAAGTTATTCAATTGTGTTTTTTAAAAATAGTTTTATACATTTTTTTTAGTTTGTTTTGAGTTGACACCATGTTTATTATGACATCCGGCCTTAAAAAATGCAAACAAACCAAAAAGTAGAGTATCAAATTGTAGATTGAACCTTGCAAAAGCGCTTTTCTGTTATTTTTAAGGAATTATAAAATCTTTAATATATATTAACTATATTAACAAACTTAATTTATTACAATAATAAAAAAATGCCTGCTGTAAAAAGAACTAGACGGTGCAATTTATATGGTGGTAGCCCTTCTGATCTTCCTATTACAGATCTAGCAACTTACGGTGATGTAGCATGATTTTTCTACAAATTAAAAGATTTAGATGGTATTAAAGACAAAAATGCTACTATTCAAAGAATACTTTGTAGTTTAAAAGAAATATGGTTCCAGAGCCGGATCAAGGGAGGCTAGGGGGACTATAGCCCCAGGCCCCGCCAATTTAGGGGCCCCAAAAAATTTTAGAGGACTTTCCTTTTTTTTATGTCATTTTTAGGCTCGGGTCCATAAAAAGGCCTCCAAAATCAAAAATAGCCCCGGGCCCCAAGAAGTCTTAATTTGCCACTGTATGGTTTAATTGCAATTCCAAATTAGTTACTTGAAAAAAGTTTGATTTATAAACTTTTAAGATTTTATAATAATGTTATTTCTTGAAATAGAAATAAAATTAAACCATTGACCAAAAAATTGTTTGAAAAAAGTAAAGAAAAAACTTTTTGATCTGCTAGCATGTAACTGCAGGCTTGAAGTTCTTCCTTGTGATGACAGGAATATCAAATGCTCAGGTTGTTAAAATGTGCATCTTTACTGTAGTTGTGTTGGTAGTACAAAAGTAAGTTATACAAATTTAAAGTAACTTATTTTAAATTAAACTTTAAATAACTTATTTAATTTTTATTGATAAACTTTTTTATATTTTATTATTTTTTTTTTTATATTTTAAGATAATAATACGTTTTACACAAATTTATTGAAAATAATATTTAAAACCAGAAATATTTATTTAGGTTCATTTGGAAGAGCGCTCCTATATAAAAAACCAAAGAGAGAAAATTGGTACTAAAGGAAAGTTTCAAATAGGTGGTATTGATAACTCTGTTTTATCCCCTACCTTAAGAAAAACAAAGCAAACAAAAGCTTTTGATGATGAAATTTATATTAACGAGTTTGACACAATCATCAATTCAGATCAGGTAATAAATTGTGATCTGTAAACTTTGATTTTATGAAAACTATATATATATTCTTAAATTTCTTAATTCTTTTAAATATAATGCTCTAAAGTTAATTAGAGCATCTAAAATGTTAATACAGTTAAATGTAAAATTTTCATTGCTATGATTTTTAATTTCTGGAGGTTTTGTTGTATTTCTTTCTATATTTACAGAGTGAAACTTCAATTTCATCATTAAATCAGACTATATCAAAGTACTATAAAACTAACCACTATCCCAAATTTGCTTTAGAGGTAATTAGATATGGGAAAGCAGATAAAGCAACTGCCGCTGTAGCTAATGCTCTACTTCAAGATATCGGTTATCTACATCTTATGCAATTGACCCAAGTAAAATGAAGAGAGAGAAAGAGCGAGTATGCTTTAATGCTATTTTTTGAGCTATCTAAATTTTCAAATATAATGGCAATTGGTTTGGATAGCAAACGTAATAAAAACTCATTGGTTTATGAACAGAGAGATATTGACGGTGAAATAAAACTTTTTAAATCTACCAGCATATATTCAGCGGATTTTGATGTTGGATACTGAAGTTCAAAATATTACATTGCCCATAATTTATAGAAACTCTTTTTGTTTTTAACCTGAAAATTTTATTGCTGCTCTACTTTATTCTGAAAAACAGGTTTATAGAACAATTGCTGTTGTTAAGATTTTGGAACAAAAAAAACCCTAATAATAAAAGTACAAACTGATACATTTTAGTAACTATGTATTAAGATTCGATCGAAATAATTGAATTAAGATTTTATCAATCATATAAATTTAATTATGGCAGTTACTTGAGATATGTAGTAGATTATTCCCACCGCCTGAATTATTCCATCCCCCTATGAAAAACTCAAAACGAGATAGCGCTTTCGGGTTATAACTGTTAGAAGTGTACCTAAAACGTCCGTACTACCTTAGTAAACATAAACAAAGAGAAAAAAACGTTTAGATGACAAGAATTTTAGAAATAAAGTTTACATAAAAGTAATATAAGAACGACGATATAAGAAAGTGTTGTAATGATAGAAAATAAACAACTATATACTAATTAGTTGTTTATTTGCGTGAAACTATTTTACACTGTTATATAATACTTTTATTATATAACAGTGTATGTAAAAGTAAAATTCAGACAGATATAAATTATATCTCTCTGAATTAATACCTCTCCTTTATAAATCGCTCAATGTAAGACAGTCTGATCTCTATTACAGTATAATGATTAAAATTCTACAACTATAAAATATTTAATAATTAGTTGATAGTTGTATAATTTCTGTTTAAACTGAATAAATTAGTTAAATAATTACGTAAAATTAATTTACAAATATCTGTCTGAATTATACCCTCCCCCTGAGTAAATTACTAAACTTGTCTCTGAATTATTTCCTTTTTCCTAGCTAATCATTTAATAAAAGATGGTGTGGTAATGGTATTGAATGATGCAATAAATAGGGAACAACTATAAACTTTTAGTTATATATTTATTTGAAAATACTTAAAAAAAAATACATCTTCAAGTTTCAAAATTATTACCTCCTTTTAGTAAATTGTTTAAAGTAAGACTGTGTGATAATGGGATGAAGTGATAGTAATCGGAATTATGCAGCTATATATCAATAAGTTATAAAATTATGTAAAAATGATTTACAACTATAATGTCTGAATCATCACATCCCCCTAAGTAAATCATGCAATACAAAATATTTGAATCTGGTATTGAATGATATAAATTATTTTTGTATTTTACTGTAATTGGAAATTTCTAAAGCTTTTGATATTTAACTTGCAGGACTTTTGTTTTACAATAGGAACATAGAATAAAAGTGTTATGCTTACTTTAATTATTAAAGTTATTAGTCCAACATATCAATATTATTTTAGCGTCATTTAAAGATATTGTGATGTTATATTGGTATTTAATTTTTTTCCAAATAAATATGCGTATATTAATTTTCTGGTATGTATATATGTTTTTAAGTTCTATGTTTGCTATTTCATATGTTCTACAAAAACTAGCATTGATTTTTTTATATTTTCATTTAAAAAATTATTTGTTTAGTGCAAATTGAAAATTATTTCTTTATTTAATAAATTTTTTTTCGTCTATTTGTTTTAGTTCGACGAGAAGGTTCTGCTCTACTTCATTTTTTTTGTTTAATTTAACTACTGTCGAAATATGGTTTTAATTTAGTAAATTTTCATGAATTGAAATTTACTTTATTAATCATTAGCCAACAGTTTAGGTAATAAAATTGAATTGATTGCCATTAAGGTAAGAATAACTTTGTTCTTTGGTCACACCATTAAACAATTTTTTGTATTTTATTATTATTATGTAATTTCTATTTTGTGTAAATATATTATAATTTTCATGGCTTAAAGTAAAAGGGGTATTATACTAATACTAACATCTATAAATAAACCTATTATTAGTTTATTAAGTTTCAGTAGTGGTGTAGTGGTAAAGCTACATAAGTCCAAAGTAGTACAACATTCAATTCGTTTCTTGGCGCAGAGGCCTTGTTTGTTAAAGTTTGTGTTTAGGTCTAACTATGTTTACATTGTGTTTTTTGTACCTTGTCTGAAGGGAAAGAGTAACATTTTAAGATCCACCCCTCCTTATCTCTTCCGATTCATCTCTCCTGAGATATGGCAACAGTATTCCATATAAAGACAGACTTATTTAACAAAACACTATTTATTTAACAAAATACTTTAAATCAAAAAATTGCAGCGTAAAAGAAGAAAAAAACAGCAAAAGTGCAAAGGAAATCCAATACTTTGGTCTTAGACTGTTACCATTACCCCAAGCCCATGATAAGCATTCTCACTTTTAAAGATTTTAATAAATTATTAAATCAAAATTATGCAACAAGTTAAAGTAAATCAAGCACTGACTTTAGAAAAAACTATAAACCTATAGTAGAGTATGGTTTCTATCTTATGCTAAATCTTGTAATTCCAATAATGTAAAGAATGTTAAAATAGAACGAGCTCACAGAACTGGTAAGAAAGATGCAAAAAAGCCAAGAACGACCGTGCTAAAACTCTTAAATTTCAAAGATAAAACAGAAATTTTTAAAAAATCTTTTTATCTGAAAGGAAAAAATATTTTCATCAATGAAGACTTTTGTCCAGAGACCACACAATGAGAAGAGCTTTAAAAGAAAAGATGAAAGTAGAACGAACACCTGGGAAATACGCTGTCATATCGTACGATAGGTTGATCATACGTAATTGGGCCTCCAATCGACAAAAGAATTAGGTTCGTTATATTTTAATTCTTTTTTATTCATGTATATATATATTACGTGGTTCTTTCTTTATTTTATTTAAAATTTTATGTTTTTAAAATGGAGGAAAACTTTTCTACAAAATTTAACTACGAAGATTTAAAGCTAAGTGATAATGAAAATTTTTTTTGTGAAAAAAGCTTTGAAACTGAGTATTTTTCATTTTCTGAATCTACTCATTTTCTTTCTCTGAACAATAATGCTTTCTCAATTTTAACTCTGAACATTCGGAGTATGAGTAAAAACTTTGAAAACTTAAAAATTTTACTGCATAACCTCAAACACGACTTTAAATTATCTGCCTTAAAGAAACGTGGCTTAAAAACAATGAAAAAAACGCACGTTTTGCAATAGCCAATTGCGCATCAGTTCATCAATCGCGTAATAAACATAATAGTGGTATTTTAATAGTGGTATTTTACATAATAGTGGTAATAGAGTATTTTTATTCGCAACTCATAAAATTTTATTCAGCGTAATGATCTTTGTGTGAATGAAACTGATTGTGAGTCGTTATGCAATGAAATAATAAATAAAAAGGATAAAAATATTTTCGTAAACTCTATTTATAGACAATTAGCTGGAAACTTAAAAAATTTTAAATTAAACATTAAAAATTTTCTAACCCAAACCAGTAAAAATCGGAAACATGTATACTTGGATGGTAATTTTAATTTAAACATTTTTAAGATTTTTTAGATTTTAACATAAATTTTATTCCAACAATAAATAAGGCAACAAGAATAACAAAGACATCGTCAACATTAGTCGACAACTTAATAACAAATAATTTTTACAAATGCTGAGTAATAACAGGCATAATTAAAACCGACATAAGTGATCATTTTCCTATCTTTTTAACCACTAAAAACATAACATTAAAAAACAATTCCTTTAAATTAAAAATATTGGTCCGTAAAATCAATGAAAACTCCTTAGTACATTTTTGCCATCTATTAAAAAATCCTGTTGATTGGAACTTAGTGTATGAAACACAAAATGCAAATAATGCTTATGTATTATTCCTCGCGTTTTTTAGTAAACAATATAATAAGGCATTTCCTTCAATCGAACAAAATTTAAATTCTAAGTATATTTTGAATCCGTGGATGACAAAAGGTTTATTCAAATCTTCAAAGAAAAAACAAAGACTAGATGAAAAATATCTACGACATAAAACATATCATAATGAAATAATATACAAAAACTACAAAAGTTTGTTTGAAAAAACCAAAAAGTTTTCAAAAAAATCTTATATAAAAACATATTGGAAAAAAGAAATGGAAATACAAAAAAAACTAGGAATATAAT